CCTCAAGTGAGCTTTTATAAACTTGCCTACATGCAACTGAAGGTGAAATTTAATTGTAATGTTAACTTTAAGTAGTTCAGTTGCCAAGAAATCTAATATTCTGATGAATCAAAACATTTTAAAAGATATTTTCAAACTAGAAGGCTTAAAAGGGGGAGGTGGTAGGGGGCGGTCAGAGAGTAGGAAGTGAACAGGCTTATAAATTTACCCAGATCCAATACTTTCCCTCCCAACTTCTCCATCAAAAAAGCATGAATTGAAAACATGTTTACAGTAAAATATCACAAGGGCTTTCCCATCGCTCAGCAGTAAAGAATCCACCTGCAATGCAGGAGACGCAGGCTTGATTCCTGGGGCAAGATCTCTGGAGAAGGGAATTGCTACCCACTCCATTATTCTTGCCTCGGAAATCCCATGGACAGAGGAGCCTGACAGGCTACAGTCCATGGGGTCATAAAGAGTTGACATAACTGAGTGACTGAACAACGACAATCACATTTCAAAACCATAACCAGCATTACTAAGCAGCAAGCAGCTCATTACAAAACCTCTAAATCTTAAAATCTGATAGTCAAAATCTCTCAGATGTTACCCTTCGTAAAGGTTATCTAATACACTGTTTTTCATTGACAACAAAAAATGTCTTTGTATCAGGTGTGTCCATTCCTCCAGACAGTTCAAAACCCACCAGAGATGCCGCACTGACACCACCACTGCAAACAGCAGCCTGGGACAGTGGTCAGCTGTTACTATACATCAGCAGTTCTCAAACTTTGGGGTTTTCAGGACTCTCTTACAACTCATGAAGACTCCAATAAGCTCAGGTTTATGTGGATTATGTCTTCACTGTTTACAGCATTAGAGATTACAACAGAAATTTCTTTAAATGCTAATTCATTTAAGTAACAAGAAATCTATCATATGCCAACATAAATGATTTTTTGAAAAATAATTGTTTTCTAAAACAAAAGATTTAGTGAGTACAGCACTATTCTACATTTTTGCAAATCTCTCATTCTGGTTTAATCAAAAACAGCTGGATTCTCATATCTGCTTCTGTATGCAATCCTGATAAATTGTTTTCGTAGATGCACAGGAAGAAAACCTGGAAATACACCACTGTAACTGGAAGAGTATTTTAACAGTCTTTTCAAATAATTGTGGATATTCTTCTTTAATACTCCACCAAAAGGCCCCAAGTGGTAATTTCTTAAAGCCTAGTTACAATATGAAAGCAGAAACCACAGCAAAAAACCCTTTGTATTCTTGTATTAAAATCCATTGGTCCATCCTGCACTTACACCTGCCTTCCAAAGGCTGACACATTTTAAAAAACACAGTATTTTTAAAGTGTTCATAAAAATAAAATAAAGTGTTCATTAATATCACCATCATTCAAATCAGAAATATTTTTAATTATTGGGAGGCTGACAAGTTCACAATGGCAGAAACAAGCATTACATAGTTTTAAGTTTTGCTTGAAAGCTCAAATTTTATCACTGACTACAAACACTGTCAGTTGTTTTCCTTAAAGACAGACTCCATTTTTCAAGTAAATGCTAAGTCGTCAAGTATGAACATCATGGTTCATTACTTGTTCTTTCAGGTAAAAACAGAACTCCATGAGAAAAGCACTAGCTTAGCTCACAAATCAACCAGGTGAGCTCTTCACAAAACCGCCATCCTTCTTTTTAGCAGTTTTATGTGTACTTTCCATTTTATCACAACATATTTAAAAGACAAACTCAAGGGTCAAGAGTCTTACTAAAATTAACACTTACACTGTTTCATCAAGGACTTTTTTCAAGCTGTGTGTCTGTGTGCTTATGTGTAGTGAAATAACATAAAGACAACAAGTACAAGGCACCTCTGCCTTGATTCTTCCTAATGCACAAGCATCATTACCCACCACTACTTTTATCCTACACTGGTGCAAATATCAACAGACCAAAAAAGACAACATCTCAACACTGTGAATAGTTTGGATTTTATGTACTCTAAGGATAAAAGACCCCCGTCCAGACTTCTATAGGCCACACTCTGAAAATCACTGCTATACAATATTACTATCCACCAAAAGGTCCCAGTTCTACCTATTATCACTACATGAAACTACTCCAATCCCCCTTTTGTGACAACCCCAAGTATTTGGAAGAAAAGCTATTGTCTCCCACCAACTCTCGCTAAGTATCTCTTCCAATAATATCCTACAAATGTGGCGTGAGTGTTAAATCATTGATAATGTTTATTCTCCTTGAAGTCTTTTCATTACCAGTGATAGCCAGAAGTGAGTTGGAAAAAAAAAACAACACGATCTGACCAGCACAGATTAAGGCAGAAATTGGAATATAGTTCCCATACAAGTATTATACTTTATACTAATGCAGTGGCTCTCAACAAGATTTTGGCCCCCAGGGTACACCTGGCAATATCTGGACACATTTTTGGTTGTCATGACCAGAATAAAGGGAGTGGGAATCCTAAAATCTAGAGGTCAGGGATGTTGTTAAACACCCTAAGATACACATGACAGAATTATCGGCCTAAAATATCAATAGTACCAAGATGAGAAATCCTGTATTAATGGATCTGAAGACTATCAAAAATCTTGGAAACTTCATCACCATGGCTCTTAAACCGCATCAGCTTTTCAAAATTATATGTGCAATTTAGATACGCTTTGGGACAATATATGGGAGACTTGTTCACAATGTTTTCTAATGATTTTCTAATGACCTAACTTTAATAATGTTTTAACTCCATCCATTCTGACAACTCATCTATAGTCTATACCTTAACCCCACCCCCCATACAATTTTAACAGCCATACTGAACATGTAACTGGAAGTCAAACACAATACAGTTTGAAAATCACAATTCAAAACATGAAATAAAATTAATGACACCAGAACATGAAAAACAAAGAAAGCAAATTAATGGGGGGCAGGGAGCCTATTTAACTTGGCTGTCTTTGGCCTTTCCAGTTTATTTCAAAAGATCTACAGTACACTTAGGGTTAAAAATAAAAGAGGGACAGCTAATTAATATCTGTCCACATTTCAAGAAACACACTAAAAAGGCAATATTTATGTGTGGGAATCTGCTGCCTTCACTGTATCTCCCATTTTAAACATTTGAACTAACTTTCGAAGAATCTGAAGCACTTAGGTCTTTAAAAGAAATGTATACTTCCCTTCCCCAATGTTGGGAAAAAGTAGGTATAAAAGAACTGTCAATTTCTAAAAGACATAAATTATTTCTTCATTAAACCACTTTAAGAATACATTTCGTATTACTGATCAATGTTTAATACTGACATGATGGATTATCAGAAAGAGAAGTCCTTTTTCAAAAACAGCAGTAAAATGTGAGCTAACAGAGTCATATAGCATTACTGCAAACATTAAGGTTGACTTTAATAGCTGATGAATTGAAAAATGCCACAAAAATCCTGCTAAGACTCGGTTCTCCTAGTAACCCTTTTTATCGTTCCATAAAAGGAAGAATCAATTAACAGGCACCTTGCAGATTACAAGACTTCAGGTCTACATATTTAATTAAAACTAACAAATATTCTCATTACAGAAATAATATGCTGATAGGCCTCTTAACAAAATGACTAGAGTGGGTGAGAAGGAGCATGAAATTCTTTTCTAAAATATCGTGTAAGTACGACAGGTGTGTTTAATGCCTGTTTCAAAGTTACAGCCTCACCTGTAAAGACAGACACATACGTATACGTACATAAATAGAACTGTAAAACTATAATCACATATATTTGCAGAAGTTGATTTGACTTAAACAAAAAAAAGCAAAAAAACACCTGAGGCGCTACAGTAGGTGTCAGAAACCCCAAAATTTCTCTTCTGCGTTGAAACAAAACTTCAAGGGTCAATTACATGCTTGGGGGCTATAACGAAGAGAACGCCTCAGTCCTTCGTTTCTTACCCTTTAATCTTCAAAAATGGAAGAAATGCAGTCTCACTATTTAGGCCTCTGCACTGCTGTGTATATACGCAGGGAAAAAAGGCTGTAATCTTTCCACCAACAATGAGTTCTCAAATTACATCCCATTCTTTCAAAAAGAAAACTTAAAAAAAAAACACCAAAACTCTACAAGGGAAAGAAAGTAAAAGATGTAAGCCTAGTGGGATTAAATGCCGAAAACGAACTACAGTAAGAAAGAAAAAGTCTACCATCAGAAAAACAAGAAAAGTTAATACTGCAGACGGAGAGAGACGGAAGCAGGAAGAACTCCGGCGACCCTATCAAAACAAAACCGGGAAAGCAATACGTAACGCAACGCCTTTAGATGGGGGCGCCCGGCAAAATGCCCCTTTTTCTGGGGACTGAAAGACTGAAGGGGATTGGGGCGGCGGTGGAGGGGATAGGGGTTTCAAACAGCGGGGCTCGACGCTCAAAACTGGGTTTTGGTTTTTTTCTGACTCGTGTTCATGCAAGCTAGAACGTGGAAGTGGGTTAACATTGGCTGACGACGTGGGCCAACTTGGAAACGGTGAGGAGACGTAGGCCGGGAACAGAAGCAGCGGAAGAAGCCCGCCAGGCGCCGGGGCGCCGGGGCGGGGGCGGGGGGCCAAGCCCGAACCCCGAGTGCAGAGCCCGCGAGGAGCAGGGCCTTCCGCCCGGGCCGCTGGCCACCGGGTGTTGTTTTCTGTTTGTTTTTCTCGCCTCCTTTCTATTATCGGACCAGGCGCGAGAAGTCGAGCTCAAAGGTTCCTCCGGCCCTTTCCGGAAGGGGAAGGCCCCCGGCCCGACAGCCGCCAGAGCCAAGAAAGGTGGCGGGGGGGGGGGGGGGGGAGCGGGAACGGAGCCCAAGGGGGAAGTGAGGCGGCAGGCGGGAGAGAGGAAACAGGAAGAGCCCCAGTCCTGCCGGCCTCCCCCGCCGGGCGAGGGCCCGGCTCCTGCGACCCCTCCCCCTCGCCCGACGCCCCCCAGGGCCCCATCGGCATGCGGGAGAAAACAGAACACAAATCACTTACAACGGCATCGTCTCCTGCGCCGGCACCGCCCAGTCACTTCCCCCCCGCAACCGCCGCCGCTGCCGCCCTGGGCATGATCCACTGAGGCGGGAGGGAGGGGGGCGGGGGCCTGCCTTAGCCCTGGGTCCTACCCCACTCCCGCACCCGCTCCCGCCGCTTTAAGCCCTTCTCCTCCTTCCCCTTCGTCCTAACATGGCGCCCGAGCGCTACCACAGCAACGTTCTAGAACCGGTGACGTCGTCACGCACGCCGGGCGCGCGCCTGCGCGAAGCAGCCGCTCGGCGCCGCGAAGCCTCAAGGGAAGGGTAGTTCAATAGTCCGCTGGCGCCCCCGGCGACTTCCGGCTGGCGTCCCAGCAGCTTCCGTCCGGATCCCGTCCACTTTCCGCGGCTGCAGTCTGGGTGCGGGACCGGGTGAGAAAAGTGAAGGGTTCTTTCTCTGAGCGGCGGAGGGGGCGGGTGTCTCCTTTTATTGAGCCGGTCTCGTCGCCGATGCGGCCCGGACTGCGTGTGGCAGGGCCCGGAGAGGGGCGTCGCTTCTGGTACATTGTGAGGTCGCGCTGCTCCTCGGACTGGTCGGTGGAGGGGCTTGGAGGGGCCCGAGGCGCCCGTGCGGGCCCACCACCAGGGTCCCGAGCCAGTCCAGCGCGGGGCTCGGCACGGTGTCATTGAATTGTAACAAGTCACTCAGCCTCTTCTTTTCTGGAGAGTGAGTGTCTGCCTGCTTCCCGGGGGACTGGCGCCTGTTGAATGCGGTAATGCAAAAGGGGTGCTTTCCACAGCCTGCAACAGACAGCGGCGCAACTAGTATTCTCCTGCCTTGCTAGACTCAGTTTAACTCAGGGTGGGGCCTTGGAGTTGTTCTGCCCACTAATGTTTACGCAGGCGCTCGAGAAATAACTGTTGAGTGAATAGAAATTTGAAGGCTAGGACTGATGACCGCGGTTTCGGGAACACGAGCTCATTTTCCTCTCTCTTTTTTTTTTTTGACAATTGGGGCCCTGGAACTCACTAATAAAGCTGTCACTCAGTAGAAACGTAGGTGGCCGTAACCCTTGGAATGTTAGCAAAGGCCTTTTCGCCTCCGGTTTCCCCAAGGCTGTGTTTTTTTCGACCCATTTTTGTCCCTAAGCGTTCACTCCAAACCTCCAGCCAAAGTTTAAGAAAGAATGCCCCAGACTGACTAAACTCTGATTCGCCTCCCTTCGAATTTAGAACACATTCCAGAGGGTCACACAGAGCTTAATGGAGGGCGGGGAAGCAGTCAAATAGGGAAAATTAAAGTTCTAAAGAGCAGTCAAATAGGGAAAATTAAGGTTCTAAATTCCTTAAACATGTTAATATGCCCTTGTAAATTCTCAGGAAGTCTAACCAAAGATTTCCCTTTTTTTCACCAAACGTTTAGTGGGACTGGAAAACCACAAGGGTCTGAAGCCCACATTGTCCAGTAGGGTAGCTGTTTGTCACAGGTGGCTTGCGAACATGTGAGATGAGGCTAGTCCGTTTAAGATATGATGTTAAGTACAAATCACATGTGATGTCAGAGATACTAGTATGAAGAGAAGCATGTGAAATACCTCACTGACAGTTTTTTATATCTTGATTTAAATACAATGCATTAAAAATATGAAAATTCCAACTGTTTCTTTTTACTTTTTTAAATGTGACTACTAGGAACTTTCCTGGTGGTCCAGTGGCTAAGACTGCTCACAATGCAAGAGGGCCTGGGTTCCACCCCTGGTCAGGGAACTAGACCCCACATGCCTCAACTAAAGAGTTTGCATGAGGCAGGTGACAACTAAAGAGCCTGCTTGTGCAACTAAGCTCCAATGCAGCCAAATAAACATCTTTTTAAAAACTGTGACTGCTACAAGAATATAAATTATATATGTGGCCCTCAATTGTACCAAATAGCAGTGGTCTGGAGACAGACTTGTGTTTTATTCCAGTTCTACTTGTTAGCCCTTAGCTCGTGTGGCTTTAGTTAGGGGCCCAAGTAATAGACTTGTCTGTAAATTTTTTGAAAAATCTAAGCTCCAGTGAAATTAATAACATGTTTATAAGTTGCTCATAAAAATGGGCACTCATGATGGGTCAAATATTGACCCACTTACCTTACATTCTGGGTGAGTAGGAGCAGATAAACAACATGAACTTATAAGGGAATTATAGTTCATAATAAGAACCAAGAATAAGAATAAATCAGATGATAGAAGTATGGGACAGTTCAACTTTAGATACTGTGGTCAAACAGCCTTTCAGAGGAGCCAGCTGTTGACTTAGAAAAAGGTGCACACCGCGAGAGTTAAGTTTTATTTGGGGCCACATGAGGACTGCAGCCCAGGAGACAGCACCTCAGATAGTTTGGAGAAACTGTTCCGAAGAGGTAATGCGGGAAGGTCAGTACATGTGATTTTGGTGAAGGAGGAGTTTACCCAATCAAGCACTTAATCTTATAAAAGGTTTTCTGTATCAGGAGGAGCTGATGTTACCATGAAGGGATTTAGTACTTTTCTAGATATGAGGAGATGCAAGGATTAGGATCATGAAATCAGTTCCTGAAAATAACTCTGTACAGACCTGTTCCACCAGTTTCCCTGGAGCACAGAATGCCTCATTCTCCACCCTGAACTCCCTTCAGACCCTGTTGGAGGTCAAGAACTGCAGCAGCGAAGGGTTCAATCCCACAGAGGCAGTTGGCAAAGGCCAGTTTGAGGTTGACACAATCTTTGACCTGAGACCTGTAGCCTTTCTGAAAGATTTGGATCTTTTTGTGAATGGGGAAGCCTTTGGAAGTTATAAAATGAGAATGAGATTGTTGTTCAGTTGCCAGTTCATTTCCAACCCTTTGTGACCCTGTGGACTGCAGCACAGCAGGCTCCCCTGTCCCTCACTGTTTCCCATTTTGCTCAAAGTCATTTCCATTAAGCGAGAGATGATATCTAACCATCTCACCCTGTGCCACCTTTTGCCCCCAGTCCTTCCCAGCATCGGGGGTCTTTTCCAATTAATCTAGCTTGAGAGAGATTTAGGCATTGTGGTTAATCCTGGTTTAGAGGTAGGAGGGCAGGAAGAAAACAAAGATGATTATGAAGGTTCTAGGAAGGGGACAGAATGAATGAAACAGGAAACGAGGATAACTGAGCTAGGAGGTGAGATTGTGAGAATGGTTTGATATGGGTTGATTTTGAAGTGCCGTTGGGACCTTCAGAAAAGTCTGAGGCTATTGAAAACACTCCAGGAATTGAGATGTAAGGGCTGGAGACCGAGATTATAAACTCTGAAAGCAACTGATGGTGTCTTGGAATCCTGATTCAGTTCTGGAAGGCTTTGCCTCACCGGGTCACTACAGTCTAATCCGACTCATATTTCACAAGTGAGTAATGAAACAGGTGGTCACAAATTGTCAGTTAAGTCAGTTAAGGATGTAGTTTGAGCCATGGAAAGTGGAGAGGGAGATAAAGCCAATTCTCAGTGTTTTGGTTAACACAATATCTGTATAGTGTTAGCCTTGCCTTGCATGTCCTTGGAGCTCCAGCCCACTACCTCCAGCTGCTGCCGACACTGCCTTACGGCGGCAGCCTGCCCCACAGCCTGCTTTCTACCAGCTGCTAAGAAAGAGGGGAGATGTTTTTCTACCTGTATCTTAAGTATCATTCAGATTGCATTTTCCACACAGTGTCCTGGTGGGAAGATTCCCAGACTGGTCCTCTTAGATGCATAGTGCATGCAAATAAAAAAATGCAGAGGAATATTTTTAAAATATTTATTTATTTAATTGGCGGTCCTAGTGGTAAAGAACTAGCCTGCCGATGCAGGAGACTTAAGAGATGTGGGTTTGATCCCTGGATTAGGAAGATTCCCCTGGAGAAGAAATGGCAACCCACTATAGTATGCTTGCCTGGAGAATCCCGTGGACAGCGGGGCCTTGCAAGCTACAGTCTGTAGAGTTGCAAAGAGTAGGAGTCTCAGCCATTGGACCACCAGGTAAGTCCCATGGACAGGAAATATTTTTGAACTTCTTCACCTGTTGAAGACTACCTAGTTTGTGTTTCTGTTACTTAGGAGGTGATCATTGGAGACACTATGTGATACAGAGATTGTTTAATCCAAATAATAAACCATAATGACTCATTTGGCTACTACTGGTGTATATTTTGAAATTTCCATCCAAAGGCAGATTTATGAGTCATTAAAGTCAAAATAATAACAAACATGTCCATCTACTAGTGCTGTACTCTTGAGCTATCTTTTCATTAAATTCTCACTCCCCTTTTACATGTTGATGTTTTAAAGAATGTGTCTTCTGTCATTGGCACGAAAGGAAGGACTTGCAGGAAAGAGAGAGGATGGTCACATCACAGGTCTTATCTGAGTCCCTCGGCTGCCAAGCGTGGGTTCTTGGCTTCGAGCAGGAAAGAGTTCAAGAGTAAGCCACAGTAAAGTGAAAACAGGTCTGTCCAGGCCACAGATAGAGTGTGGGCCATGTCACGAGACAAGAGTGGCAGGAGAGTATGGGGGTTGTCCGTTTTTTGTAGGGGTGGGTAACTTCCTAGGCTAATGAGTAGGAGGAGTATTCTAGCTAATGGGGGGAAGGGGTGAGGATTTTCAGGAACTGGGCCACCGCCCACTTTTTGACCTTCTGTGGTTGTCCTTGGAAAGCCATGGCACCTAGGGTATGTCGTTTAGCATGTTGATGTGTTACAGTGAACACATGCTGAGGCTCACACTCAAGTGGAAGTCTACTCTTCTGCCTTCTCAGACCTGAAGTGTAGTTGCTCAGTCGTGTCCGACTCTTTGTGACCCTGTGGACTGTAGCCTACCAGGCTCCTCTGCCCACGGGATTCTCCAAGCAAGAGTACTAGAGTGGGTTGCCATTGCCTTCTCCAGGGGATCTTCCCTACCCAGGGATCGAACCCAGGTCTCCCGCATTGTAGGCAAATGCTTTGATCTGAGCCACTAGGGAAGTCTTGGACCTAGTTGATTCTAATCAGTTTATGTTGTGGACTATGTCACAGGTCATTCTTTAAAGTTCTGCCCTGCCCGCTTCCTGTCTCAAAATTGCAGTAGCACTTTAATTAGAACTAGCCCAAACCTGTGCTTCCTGTAGTCTTTGCCTCTCTCTCAATAGCTCAGTCATCCTTTGGGCTCAAAACAACTCAGTGTCCTTGATTCCTTCCTTTTCCTCACTGCCCATACCCAATCCATCCTCAAGCCCTACTGGTTCCTCCTCTCAAATCCACCTGACATCCAGACTCTTCTCCCCAACTCCTCTGCCATCACCCTAATCCCTGGTGGTATAGTGGATAAGAATTTGCCTGCCAGTGCAGGGGACGTGGATTCAATCCCTGCTTCGGGAAGACTCCCCATGTCGCGGGGCAACTAAAGCTTGTGCAGCACAGCTATACTGAGGCCACATGCTGCAACTGCTGAAATCCCTGTGCCTAGAGCCTGTGGTCCACAGCAAGAGAAGCCACTTCTATAGGACGCCCTCGGGCCACAACTGGAGAGCAGCCCCTCCCTGCTGCAACTAGAGAAAAGCCCTCACAGCAAGAGGGACCCAGCACTGTCAAAAAAGAAAGAAAGCAGGTGTGCTCAACCTCAAAGCCAAACAGGCTTGCTTAGCAACAAAACCAGGCTGCAGAAGCACGAGCCATGCCCCGGAACAAGAAGACAGTGGTGGCAGGAGCCCCACATCCTACCCATTGAGCCCAGTAAGTTAATGATCCCTAAGATATGCTCTCTGCACACATGAAAACAATAATTTGTAGACCTAGCTTGACCATGTAGGAACAACAACAACAAAAAAACCTTCCCTGCCCATCCTGGAGGATGTTGACTAAAAAAGATGTACAACTTGAGAGTTGAGAGTCAAGTTTTATTTGGGACAAAATGAGGAGTGCAGCACAAGTTTAATACCATGAAGCACTGAGTTTACAAAAGATTTTTTTGTTAGTCATGAGGATCTGATGTCCCCATGAAGGGATTTAGTGCTTCTCTAGATATGAGGAGACTGAGATCATAAAATCTGTTCCGAAAAACATCCAACTCTCTAAAGACCTGTCCCACGAGATTCCCTGGAGCACAGAGTGCCTCACTCCACCCTGACCTCCCTCAGGGGGTGTTAAAGATCAACAGCTATAGCAGCGTGGGGTTTAGTCTCCAGAGAGGCAGTGGGGAATGCCTTTGTTGTTCAGTCTTGACAATGCCCTTAGTAAGTGCCAATTTGTAGTTGACCAGGAAGAACGAATGATGGAAGCATGACGTCTACTCAAGAATGACAAAAGTTCCATGATCACGTTGACAATGCTCTCTTTAATCTCTAAAGATAATTTATAACCAGTGTCTCAAAGTTGAAAATCTTCAGCCCTTGTAGTTCTGATCTATAACTGGCTTTTTTTTTGGCCAACTGTCTAAAAGAAGTTTTTCTTCCTCTTCCCACTTTTCCGTTGATTAGAAAAGTGTAGCCCACTGTAGAAATTGCTGGGATGCAGCAATCTCCCGCCTTCCTGCTTGTAAGCCTCACATGCGTCCTATTCTAACAAACCACTTCTTAGCCATCACTCTGCTTTTCGCCGAGTTCTTTCTGCGCTGAGACATAAAAGGACTACGGTACTGGAGCTCTTCAGAGCCCCCTGAAACGCCACCCGATGGTTTCAGTATGATGCGCCGATGAACTGAATGTGGGGTAAGGGAATAAGAAAAGAGCCAAGGATGCCCCACAGCTTAGGGCCTGAGTGGCTGGAAGGATGGAGTTGCCAATACCCGTCATGGAAAACTGGGAGCGGCAGGCAAGGGCATGGAAGGGAGCCATCAGGAGCCGGATGGGCCTTGCTAGAGCCCGAGGGGACTGTTCGGCATTCAGGTCTGGGGCGAGCTTTCAAGGGGGAAATGACAAAATTTGACATGACGGGAGAGGCTGAGTAAGATGAGGCCTAAGCACTGACAGGTTTGAGAATGTGGACATCAGTGGTGACCTGGCTCTAACCGGGACTGGAGGACTGGGTCCCTGTGCCAGCAAGGGGTTGTTTTTTTTTTTAATTGGAATTGATTTTTTTTTTAATGGAAGGATAATTGCTTTACAATGTTGTGTTGGTTTCAGCCATACAATAGTGTAAATCAGCCATAAGTATATGTGGGCTCCCCCCCTCCTTGTGCCTCGCTCCCACCACTCACCCCATCCCACCCCTCTGGGTTGTTGCAAAGCACTGGGTTGAGCTCCCTGAAACATACAGCAAATTCCTACTGGCTATCTGTTTGACATATAGCAATGTATATGTTTCAGTGTTACTCAGTTCATTCCACCCTCTCCTTCCTCTGCTGCGCCCACAAGTCCATTCTCTACATCTGCATCTCTATTCCTGCCCTGCAAACAGGTTCATCAATACTATTTTTCTAGATTCCATATATATGCATTAACATACAATGTTTGTTTTCCACACTTACTTCACACTGTATAATAGGCTCTAGGTTCATCCATTTCACCAGAACTGACTCAAATGCATTCCTTTTTATGGCTAAGTAATATTCCATTGTATATATGTACCACAACTTCTTTATCCATTCATCTGTTGATGGATACCTGGGTTACTTCCATGTCCTAGCTAGTGTAAATAGTGCTGCAGTGAACACTGGGGTGCGTGTGTCTTTTTTAATTACGTTTTTTTGGGTATTAGGGTATATGCCCAGTAGTGGAACTGCTGGCTCATATGATACTTTATTCCTAGTTTCTGAATTGAGTTTTTGTCTTATTTTGATGTGTGGGAGTTAGCACAAAAAGTTTGAAGGGAAGAGTAAAAACCCAGAGGAGAGGGAAAAATCAAGCTGTGAGAGAGAAGGGACAGTTACAGGAGC